GTTTCCCTGAGAACTATAATCTCCAACTATTCAAATGTAATGTCAATCGACATCTCCAGTTACCTTGATCTACCCACTACCCTTCTCTTCATCCTTTCTCCTATCACTCCTATCTGCTCTCGCTCCAAATCTTCCGCAACCCCCTGCATCCTAGTTGCTTCACGCCTTGCTTGGGGCGTAATGCTTAAAAAAAAAAAAAAGCTAAGAGATTAGTGATCAGCTGTAAGAAAAGAGAAAAGATCGTTGTCAAGCAAGTGGAAAAAGCCTGGGATTTCGACTACAAAATGAAGTTATCAACATCGCGAACAGAAAAGACACGAGACGAACAATGCTCTGAGAATAGTTACTGTAAACAGACTACGGATTTATAAAATGACGGGGAAATGACAGCAGTCAAGTATTACAAGCAGCAGCAGTGTCAGCAGCGGGGAGAATAGGGCCTTCTTTACGGCATCGAGTGTTGGACGATTTCCTCAAACGAAGAAGAGACTCGAGGCGACGGAGATGTGGTTCTAGAGAAGGATGCTAAGGATATCATGGACCGAGCGTTAGAGAGGTTGCAAACAAGGAGGAGGCTTATACTTAATATCAGGAAGAGGCAGCTGAAGTGTCGGGGACACATAATGAGGAAGGAGGACCTGGAGAATCTGATACTCTCGGGTCGAATAGAGGGAAAGAGAGACAAGGTAAAACAACGCGTGAAATACCTGGCGGACTTAAGCAAGTGGATGACAGAACGTAGTCTTGGGGAGGGAGCAGAAGGAAGGAACTTGTTGAGAGCTGCAAGAGATAGAGGGAGATGGCGAGCCATGATCGCCTACGTCCTGAAAGAACATCGCACATGAAAAGAAAAAAAGACAGGGAAAGCGGAATAAGGTTTCAGTTGGAAGTTTACATAAATAAATCAATTTTATTTATTGTTATTTTATTGTTTAAATAAACAGTTTACCCTTATCGATAGGTAACTGTTGAAATCTGGAGAGCAAAACAGTGTGATAATAAAAACAAAGATGAGGACAATAGTCCGAGTGTAAATAGTTTACATAATGACTACAGCATGACATCAATTTGTTAAGCCGAATTCTGTTTCGGACTCTTCGTGTGGCAAATTCAGATTTTGTTATTTGAAATTTTCTTGATGCTTCTCTTTTCGAATATTTTCGATCTATGAATAGTAACGGTTGACTATAATAATAGATTCCTTGAAAACGAAAGTACTCTTGTATAAACGAGAGTGGACAGAAAAGGAGATTCAAGGAAAGTTCGAGATCATTCAATAAACAGCAATATTAGAACCGTCAAAAATATGGTGCTAGAAATTTGAAATGTGCTAAAAATTTGAAAATGCATCGTGTTACTAGGTTTGCAACACGACCCCGCCCTTTCACTGTCGAAAGAGTTAAATATAACCACTTCTTCTACTTCAACAGCTTCTTCTCTTGCACTTCCAAACAGTGGAACTCCCTTCCACTTACTTGCTTCCCTGATAACTATAATCTTCAAAAGTTTAAATGTAATGTCAATCAACATCTTCTGATGCCATGATCTTCAACCCCGTCCATCTCTTTATCCTTTCCTCAAATCTTTACTCTTGCTCTCCCTTTCTGTTACCCATTTGCGTTCTAGTGGCACCCCCGTCTTGATTGGGGGGAAATGCTTAAAAAAATAAAATAAAATAACATCAATAATAATAATAAAATAAATTTTCAACCTACCCCCATACGCTCACACTATGAAAGTATATGTGTGTGTGTGTGTGTGTGTGTGTGTGTGTGTGAGAGAGAGAGAGAAATATGCGAACAAGCAAACAATACTCACATCTTGAAGTTTACTCGCTGCTATTTTCGTTACATTATCTAGTTACTCTGCTAAATGAAACAATGAAATTCGGACAACGTAAGACTATTACGTCTACTACTATTAGGTATAAACAAATATAAACAAATAATACATTCCGGAGAGAATCGGATAAGAAAGAATGAATGTTACATACTGAATTTCAGCTGCTGAAATGAAACTGAAAGTATTTCAGTAATACGAGGAACATCCTTACCGCAGAGTAGCAAGAAGTCTTACATACCATTCAATGTATTCAAACCTCACAAAGAATGATACAAGAATAGCCTTGTGCTGTTCTAAGCTTAGTCAATTTGATTAAGATGTAAGATTAACAGTTTGTGTATGATTACCGTGGCGTGTTGGTTAATGACCGCGTAACACAGGTCGTTACACTTGAGGATTGGATTCCAATTCATGGTTTTCCTTTTCATAGAATGGTTTTGAACCCAAATCAATAGAGCGCATTTCTATATATTTCTATATTTAACCTATAGCTGGAGGGGAAAGAGAATGATTGTGGGAAGGTGCATGAAATTAACTCAATCGGATTTGAACTCAGTTCGCCCATTACTTTCTCTAACTCGTTAATCGTTACATTATCTGCAGACGCACACATTACTGAGTAGGAAGTTCTGCTTTCATTGGCTGTCGCGTATACGAGGTTCAAAAGGAAATCCAGAAAAAATAAATCTATTTAAATTCTCTGCTCAACATTTCACGCACGTAGATATTTCTTTAGAAAAAGGTATTCCAGGGTACCTTCTTATTTCTTTAGAAAAAGGTATTCCAGGGTACCTTCTCATTAAAGCGGAGTGTCAAACAGACGTTTTTTTTTCATGACACGGCTTTTATTTTAACTACCTTCACTCCTCGGCAGGGTTTATTGTTTTAATTATAGAATTTTAATAAAACCTAAACATATGAAAGTGAATCTTCTTTGTTCCCGAGGATTGTCAACAAAAATAATAAATTAAATTGTTTATTGGAATAGCTGGCAAAACATCGTCTAATTGCCAGTTGATTCGAAACTCTCTATCTATAAAGACAGGATGTGTGTGCGTGTGTGTGTGTGTGTGTGTGTGTGTGTGTGTAACGAATGCACAGCTGCAATTTTTGACGGATTTGCACCAAAATTTACATGCACATGCTCCAAGTTAGCGGGAAGGCCAAGACCGACTTTGCATTTCTCAACTCCTATCGATAGGGGAAATAATCGATTTTTTCATGCTTATACAGTAGTTTTTATGTAGTTTGCGGCCATTTTATACTGGCCAGAGTGAGAGCCAATAGCTGGCTGCCACGAATAGACAGGAAGATTCTATTGACCAGCGTGAGAGCCAACAGCTGACTGACACGAATGTTAACTAGCATGCTAGCATGCAAAACAAAAAAATAGATAGCTGCATTCGTCACAAGTGGGAAAAATTTAAATCTGCATGGCACTTTACTTCAATTGGCTCATTCGCTTGCTTAAACTCAACGTTGATTCTGATTCCGCAGAACTGGGTTGGGTGTGAAAAAGTATTTGTTGTTAACATTCTTTTTTCATTCGGTTTTTCCAGTTACGAGTCCTTTTTTAAAGCTGATCGTTTTGTGCTCATTTTGTTTAGTTCTTTATTCGTAACAGATTTAATGTTTAGTATAGAGCTTAGAAAAATTTGCAGTGTGAGATAGGCAAGAAGTAAGGCATGTAACAACATCAGCACGGCAAAGAGCACTCCTTTAAAGGCAAGGAAGGGCAAAAATATTTTAACTCAAGTGATAGCGATTGCTGTATGAGTCGTACGATTTTTGAATCAGGCACGGGCAACGCCGGGTCATGCTGCCAGTGGTAAATAAAAGGGCTTATCTTTATAGTTGGTTCACATACTTTAATGCTTTCGTAAATGTTTATAAATAAAAAATGGCTTTCATATTTATTTCTTTATAAAATGGTAAATGATAAATGGTGTATTGCATTAATTTTAATTGTATTAGTTTTTTTTTTTTTTTAGAATGATGTAAATATAAAATTATTCTTGTAAATAAACAATCTAATTGTGTTCGATATTTTTGTTGTAAATTCTCAAGAACAAAAATGTACATAATTCACTTTCGTCATATGTTTAGGTTTTATTTCAATTCTAAATATGGCTTTTTAAAACAATAAACATTGATGAGAGGAGCGAATGTACTTAAAATAAAAGCGGTCTCATGGGCGGGGGGAAACCCAACAACCTTTTGACACTCCGTTTATTTTGCAGGCACGAAGTTTCATGTTTACCAAATCTGTTTTATTAAAATTAAATAAGAAAGGTCATAGTTTCTTCCATGTGATGGGGCAATTATTATACATTGATTCATTTGGACCAGTTTCCTTGTTACTTTGCTTAGAATATTTTAATTTCTGTACTCACTAACCATACTCAAATTTCTGCCATATATATATATATATATATGTATATTTCTGAAGAAAGATTGAGGTCAATCTGAAATATCAAATATATATATAAATAAATAAATACTTTCATAAAAAAATATTATTTTTTAATTTGCAAACTATTCTCTCTCTCTCTATATATATATATATGGCAGAAATTTGAGTATGGTTAGTATATATATACTCACTAACCATACTCAAATTTCTGCCATATATATATATATATATATATATATATATATATACTCATATCCATCTCAAATTTCTGGCATAAATATATATATATATATATATATATATATATATATATATATATATATATATATATATATATATAGAAATTTAGTATGGTTAGTGAGTATATATATATATATATATATATATATATATATATATATATTATATATATATATATATATATAGAGAGAGAGAGATACAGACAGAGACAGAGACAGACAGACAGAGACTGAGAGCAAGAGAGAGATATGATAATCTGAAAATGATGCCTTGTTTGAAACATCAGAGTATGTCAAATCTTATATGCGTCCTATTCAAAACTCATAACTATCAATTCTTCCTTACAATGCTGATCGTCTTCTCAACAGGGCTAGTGTTTATTTGTGCACTATCCGAAACAGGCATTAAATTCACAAATAGAAGAGGCATTAAATTCCAAGTCGTAGAGGTCAGTTTTCTTTGTTTTCTCTTGTGTCGTGCAACTTTGTCGATCAGTGTAGAACGAATGCGGTGTACGGGAGGAACGGATCAAGTATCCTTGAGAGAAAAAAATGAAAGTATTTCGAAGAAGGTTTTTGAGTCAAAGTATCAGAATATATCAAGCCATAGATTTCTCCGAACGCACGGTCACAAAACGCACATATATAAGAACTCACACGTCAAAAAATTAGGATCGATAGCTTAGAGAGTTATTCTTAGAATATTTGAAATTAATAATCGAAATAAAATCGATAATGGATCCAAAAACAATAAACGTGAGCGATTTCTTTTTTTGTAGATATTAATGTATGAAATGTATTTTACTTGATTCATCAGAAGTATTTGCTCTGACTTAATACTTTTACCTTGATAAGAGGAAAAGAAAAAAGAAAGACAATGACAGATACACTGAAAGTTAAGTAGAGGTGAATTGAACAAAGCCTTTTGGAAGATATTTTATTCAGACAAAAAATTAACGTAACACTACTTATAAAATAATTCGTTCAAAGAAGAGTTACATGCATATAAATAGTCATGTGTGCAAGGCACGGATGTATTCAAGTATTATAAAGCTGGATATATCATTGTATTTGAGAGAATAATATTTTTAACCTCCGTATGTATCAATTAGTATATATCTGTATAACTCTCTCATTCTGTGTTGGAATTTACCTCTGTCAATCTAATTCAGTCTGTTCAAATCTATCTATCTATCTATCTATCTATCTATCTATCTATCTATCTATCTATCTACATAAGTCTGTATAGGTCTATTTCTTAATCGATGTATCTCAGTCTGTCCAGATCTATCTATCTATCTATTTATCTATCTATCTATCTATCTATCTATCTACATGTCTGTATAGATCTATCTCTCAATCGATGTTTCTCAGTCTGTCCAGATCTATCTATCTATCTATCTATCTATCTATCTATCTATCTATCTATCTATCTATCTATCTACATGTCTGTATAGATCTATCTCTCAATCGATGTATCTCAGTCTGTCCAGATCTATCTATCTATCTATCTATCTATCTATCTATCTATCTATCTATCTATCTACATGTCTGTATAGATCTATCTCTCAATCGATGTATCTCAGTCTGTCCAGATCTATCTATCTATCTATCTATCTATCTATCTATCTATCTCACTCTATTCAGATCTATGTATGTATGTATCTATTTAACTATCTATCACAGTCTGTTCTGATATTCTTTTTATCGGAAACACCCCAAGCAAGGGAATAATGCCACTAAAGCACAAGGGGGTTGTGGGTTAGGGTTAGGGACAGAAACACCAATGAAGTGCAGAAAGAGAAGTGAGTAATCAGGTGGACATTAGATAGTGATTGATATTGCAATTAAATTTTTTCTGAAAAGCATGGAGCCAGAAGGGAATCCCACAAGCCAGAAGCTGTTGTGACGAGAAAATAGCCGAAAATAGTGGTTCCTGTGTGTCATAGCGGCCAAGAGTGCTGGTGTGAAGCATGGATATGATTGACGTTTCACTTGGTATTTCCAAGAAGGGGTGAAAACGTCCATGCCGGCTTTCACCCAAGAAGAAATCTCAGTGACGCACTTTACAATTGGGAGTTTAAAGATGTCAGTCCAAGGAATGTCACGGAGAAAATCTATCTATCTATCTATCTATCTATCTATCTATCTATCTATCCCAAAAATTCCTCAGGAAAATATACTCTACCCGCAAAATCCGTTTGAACTGTTGTATAACATAATCGTCTCTTTTCTCTATATCTGATCAAATATTTAATTAAATATTTTTAACGATTAAATATTTTACTAGATCTAATTAAATAGATTTGATTGGTTTGGTTTTCACAGTTTATCAATTTTTTGCAAGCCATTTACAGGTGGGAAGTATTTTTGAATTGTAATAATTAGGGGCTAAAAACTATTTTTCTGAAACACATCCTATCCACAGGGAAGTGGTGGATCCCTCTCTTTCCCGGTGGTTTTTGCGCGTACAGGAATATAACGAACCCAACTGGAATTTGAACTCGGCTCTCCGATTTCTAATTTCCAGACGTCATTTATTAAACTACCGGCATATCAACGCCTACAGCACAATGTAATAACCAGTCTTGACGTTGCTTAACTTTAGTGATTGGACGGGAACCGGTGTTTTAACGTGTGACGGGCGTGAGCCTGGATGAAATAGAATAAAAGATGAAAACAGATTAGAAGAGTAATTACAAAGCTTTTTTAAATATCATGACAGTTTATATCTTTGAGCATGTGCGTATGTGACTGTGTGCGTATGTGCGTGTGTGGCTGTGAGTAGCTGTGTGCGTGTGTAAATAAAAAATTCAGATACAAATAAATACATCTGCAAAGACAATAATAAAAGTAATGACAAGAGGAAAATCGTTTATGTGAAGGCGTTTCGTTCCTTCAGCAACTTTATCATGTATAGAACTTTTGTTTTTTATCAAGTAGCTTAAAAGCCTCCCAATCGGGCGGCATTTAAGCTAGATCCTTCGGAGGGTTCTTGATTGGGCCTTCGGCTTGTTCAGAAGTTTGAGAGTCCCTAAGTTTGCATATTCTCTGCATTCGAAGCTCTCCAGACTTTTCGCTTAATCTGGGTTCCCAGTTGCATGGTACACCCTTTTTCATCGCTGCAGCCTTGGCTCTTTTGATTGCAATCTGGCCCTCTCTTGGTGAAGATTTCATTTTGCAAGGCATACTGCTGCCGTATGCGATAGACAACAATAAACTACAGAAGAACGTAAAATTGATCGCTGCATTTAAGCATTGCATTAACACATAAGCATACCACTCAATTTAAAGACAATTTGATGTGCGTAGGTCCTTACTTTCCCTAGAAACAATTATTTAAATGAAAGGGGAAAAATTTCAATAGGTGGGAGGTGGGTTTATTCCACCCGAAGACCCCGTTTGATCAAAATAAAATATACTTATCCATGTACCCTGGATAATATAGTTTCGGAATATATATGGTTATTGGGAGTCTATCTCCAAATCTCTAGGAGGAGTTCGATATAAAACATACAGACAGAGGCTACTAGTTTATATATCTATATAGATTATTAATACATATATGCACACACCCACACACACACACACACACACACACACACACACACACACACACACATATATATATATATATATATATATATATATATATATATATATATGGACTCTCCCGTCGGTTTCGACGTATGAGGATCTGACAGCTCTGACAGTTATGAAATTTCGTTCGATAATCTTAAGTGGTATTTAAGGCCCGCTAGTGATTTACAAAGGAGGCCACATATGGAGCAAGTGTGGGGATTGGGCTAGAGCCTTTCAGTAATATCCTTTACCTGACCCCGTCGCCTTCACTCTCTCGCCAGCGGACCTTGCAAGTGAACTGCGTGGATAAGAACGAATCAAGGTAGACCGCCAGAAATGTGGTGAAGGCTTGATATGTATATATATATATATATACTATTTATTTAGGCAGGGAGAATTCATTTAAACAAGTTCTATGAAATCAAACAAGGTATATCTGCTAAATGTTTTTATTGCATTTTTCTAAATTTCAATAATATGTGGCACATTGGCATAAAATTGTGACTCACCGGACAAGAAGACGGCAAGAGGGACAGAGGTAAACAACGCAAAACATATTTGGCGAGCGTGAGTAAATGGCTGGCAGAATACAGGGTTTGGGACAAATAAGAGAAAGACCAAGTTTACAAGGGACAGGAAGTTGTGGAGAGCTATGTTCCCCTTTGTCCTGAGGGTACGCAGCAATTAAGGAAGAAGAAGGAGTTCATATTTTTTTGTCTTGATATTGCTCGAATACTTTCTCAGTCATTATCAAATGCCAGGACGTCGCTATTACACTCTAGGATGTGGCTAACAAGCTCTTGACGACGATAGAAACGACTTTTAGTTTCTGATAATGACTAAGACAATTAAAAGTATTCAACGAAAGACATTGCAACAATGTGAACCGTGTTTTTTTTTATCCACAATCTTGATCCAGGTGTACAACTTAAATAAAATAAGCACACAGGTCACATCTGATTCATTTAATATGACTTGTAAACATATGGACAATGTCAAAGGATGGACATGCATGACTCTACCAGAATTGCTGACGGCTGCCGTTAATAGACCGCTGTGGAAAAGAGTTAGAGTGGCGTCTGCATTTGGATCCGCCATACGATTACAAAAGTAAAGGGGATGATGATGATGATGATGATGATGTTGATGTTGTAAGCATATATGCGTATAAATGCGTGTATGTGTGTTTTGCTAAATATTTACCAATTACGAATCTCAAGAACTACCTAGTTTCGCTGAATGAGATTGTTAATGAACCTAATAAGAGAAAATAACTAAGGATATGTAGATCAAAGTACGGTTAACGTAGATTTTAAATGGTTACGATTGTCGTCTTCTGGAAAGCATCCTCTCGGGAGTCTGCTCAACAAAGTATAGAACTTTATTCAAAGTAATACGAAAAGAATGAAGATGGTTCTCCCCTATGTATATGTTCTGATGGGTCCTAGCTGGAAAGGTCTGAACTGGTGGTACTAAGTAATGTAGCTCGTCAGTACACTTTCCATGGAAAGAGCGTGTGTATATGATGTTTATGTGTGCTTCTAAGTGCATCACTCGTCATAATGTTTTTAAGCAAATATATTGCTTCTCAGGGTTTTAAGAGCTTAAACCTGGTACATGACTCAGGAGGCACATTTTATTGCAATAAACACGCATTTGGTCACGTTGGTTGTTTTGAATGCTAAATTTCTAAAAAAAATGTTTTTTTAATAGGATTAACTTGGTAGAGTTCTACTTATAAGTATTTGAACAAGCTCAAATTCTGTTTTTCTTTTATTAAATATTATAATAACAGGAGCCAATAAGGTTGTTAACAGCGGAGTCAGATTCAAATTAATTCACAGGTTCTTCTAAATAGCAATGTGAATTTGCTCTTGATCGATGCTGTACGAGATTTTAGAAGTACAGAAAAATCTATTTTAAGAATATATTCTTAATACAAATAAAATTCTCCTAGAAATGTAACATTCAGACACTGATTCACGATCAACACATGTCTCACTATATTTATTTTCTTAAAATATCCTTCCTCTTAAGTAATGCTAGCTATTAAATAAAAACAATTAGATACAAGATAACTGATGGTTCAAATACATACATGTTAAAGCAAAACTGACAGCCGTTGCATTTAAACGCAAAAAGAAAAAAAAATATCAGTAATGGATAGCTAGACATAGTTTTTGTCTTATAAGTTGCACTCCTGATGATGATCCGAAAAAGAGATGGAAAGGACTTGGGAAATAAAAGGGATTTTCACTGTTACAGTGCATTTCTTACGTCATATATATAGGTGCGAGAAAAGATTTCGTTTTTAAGTGAATTTCAATGAAAATATTCAAATCGTTGTACATAGATTCATTCAACCAATTACATGTGTTAATTTGTTCCATTACCGTTCAACAAAAAAGAAAAATTGTCACCACAAACACAAATCACATCCTATGAAGGATGTAAAATGTATTTGCGTTTGTAGGTTTTTTTGTTACACAAATGTGCATTGAAAAATGATGCCATGGCGCCATTTCTGAACTTAGGTCTCTGGTTGGGACCCGGGAAGAAATGAGTATAGACCAGTAATCAAAAGAAAATACTACTATTACTAGGATTAATAATGAAGCACCATCGCTGTCCAGATATGATAGTGTTGGATAAAGGCACCAAGAACTATCATATTATTGGTGTTGCTATACCAAATGACAGAAATATAGCAAACAATGTGATTGAGAAAATTATAAACTACTCTGTTCAATTCAGATTGTTTGGAATCCAGGAAGGTAATGTCTAGATGATTTTCAGCTGTGATTGGCGCAGTGGGATCAATCCCATTTAACCTGTGTCTTGACCGGTTGAGGCTACCATACCAACATGGAGTCATCAGTTCTTTTAGGCGCTGCGCATATTCTGAGGAAAGTGTTGTCTGTCTGAGGTCGTTGCTGTAACTTGACAGATAGCTTAATGTACTCTCGGTGTATTCACAAACTTACACTGTGTAACAAAACAGAATGATAATAATAATAATGATAATGTTTTTCGCTCTGATTGCATAGCATATCATATTTGTATCTCCCGATTCAATATTTTGTCTCTTGAAGACTCGGAAGCAAACCGTGCTAGACCAAGCTTGAGAAAAACACAACAACAACAACAATAATAATAATACAGGCTTAGGATAATATAACGTGAAGAAGACATTCTGTCGAAATGCTTGACATTGTCAAACACTGTTTTTTTTTCTTTTTATTTTCTTAAATCGCGCTCTTCTCTTAGTTGTTTAAAATTTTAGAAGAATCACGTCAATCGTTTTGTTTGTTTATAATAATAATAATAATGTTGTGTATGATACACCTAATTTACATAAGCGGACTACCGACCATATAAATATGGGTTGGTACCGGAAGACGGGGAAGATAGTAGAGATTAAAAAATTGAATCCAGAGACTCTGCCCGACTGCGATTTAGTCAACCCATTATGCAGGAACAGTCTTCCCAAGAATATACCAAACTAACTGTAAATATTGTGTACCTATTCTTTGTTTCAATACATTTTGTTAACGTACATTTTGTGTTGTATTATTCCATGCTTATTTAAGCTTCAACAAATAATAATAACAACAATAAGAATATAGTTTAAGTAATATTTTTATTATGGAGTCGACTAGATAG